CCTAGGCCTCCCCACAGCCCCCCCCGGGCCTCCTCACAGAGTGGGGCCGCCCGGGGTAGCTAAAGCGGGGGTGAGGGAATCAACACGGGGCTGTCCTAGAGCTCCCGCCCGCGTTCCCGTCTCGGTGCCCTCGGCAGAAGCTGCTGGGGCGGGTAGTAATCGAGCTGTGCGGTGTGGGGCTTGTTCATTTGTTATCTGAGAGGGTTGGGAGGGTTCGGGGTGCGAGCTGCGCCGGCTGTAACTTTGTGCTTTGTTTTTAAAGTCGGTAAACGTTCTCACCTTTGTTTTTCCTTCTGGAGCCTGTTACGTCAGAGCAGGGATTACCCTGGAAGTGTGTTGGGGTGAAGAACTGCGTGTTTGTGCCTTGTGTGTTGTTCTGAGCCTTCTCCTGTGCATCTGCTGGTGTTTGTGTGGTAAGAACTTGCGTTCGTTTCAGTATTGTGTTCCGGGTGTCTGAATGCAGCTTCTCATGGCAGAGTGGGGTTTGTTTGTTTTTCTTAAAGGGGAAGATGGCAACTTGCGGTCTGAAAGGGATGTTTCAGCACCTGGAGGGCTGCTTGGTTTGATCCCTGGGTTGTGATCTGTTGATCTCATGATCGTCGTTTTTGCATGTGAATTTAGTGCCTGCTCAGATTAGTGGAAATCTGTGCTTTGCCCAGAAGTGTGGAAAGTGCAGCTGTGCTAAATGTGGAGGGAGAGGATCTTGGTTTAAAAGGTTTGTTAAAAATAAGTCCTACTTGTGTACCTGGTTCCTGCTTCTGGTAGAAGAGAAACAAGGATAAACAAAGATGTGGAATTATCTGACACATTTAAATGTCAGAGTTCTATGTTCTGCATGTAAAACATGCTTTTTATTGGAAGTTAGGTAAAGGTTCAGAAGTGACTGGTGCCTGTCACAACTTGAAGGTTCCTTGACCTCCATTAGAAAGATGTTTTCTATGTTGCAGAACATGGAAGAACCTTTGTTGATTGTAGAACTGAGCTCAAACCAGGTTGGACCAGTTGTCCCAGTGAGGCTTGCATACATCAGGAAGAATTTAATGGGGATCTCAAGTGGAGCACTGCTAAAGCCACAGCTTTTTATTCATGCTTTAATAATGTAGAGTTTTAATAGCTAAAAGAACTTAAGTGGGAGAAGAGGGGAGCAAGCCTAAGAACAAAAGACACAGAAGTCAAGGGAATCAATACCCTATTTGTGCAGGTGCAGGGAGTTGCTGTGTATGCAAGAACAGGGAAAAAAACAAAACAAAGAATGAAATTGGCAGATAAACCCACCTAAGCCTTCAACTTGATGGGCTTCCACTGTGAAGTAATAAAACACAGTAATTTTTTGGTAGAGAAAATGAAGGGATAAGTGTAGGAAGGAGAGGAGTGGCTTTTCTTGTTTTGTTTTATTGATGGTCTGTAACTTGATTGATGTGTTTGAGACATGAATATATTAAAAACTGGCTGAGTTCCCTGCTTAAGTGTATCCTGTTTTGTGTCTCTCTACAGGTAATCAGGATGGTGTGTTGAGTAACTGTGAAATTTCCTTAGACTCCTGTAGCTTTCCTTTGTTTTCTTTGAAACTGAAGGCATGTAATTTGCTCTTGCTGAATGTAACAAATAAACCCCAAATAATTGAGCTGTAGGCAGATCTTCTGATCCCAGGAACAAACTCTAAAGCTGCTGCTTCTGTGGTTATTACTGTGAGCAGAGAAAGGCACTGTAAATAAATGCATCTAAAAAATAAGTAATATTGTATTTTCTGAACAGCAGGTTTTTTTAGATGTGGGTGGGGAAGAAAAGCTGGATTAATTCTGAGTGAGAAGTTCTATCTTCTTATCCCCCTAAACTTTTTTTTATTTACAAACCTATACATATTTTACTACATGAAGAACATAGTCATACTTGGTGTAAAGCACAAGCAGGGAAGGTGCTTTCTTTTCTTTCCCCCCCACACCACCAAGCCTGAATAGGCTGCTGGAAATGATCTTTGTAGGTGAAATGATTAGTGTTTGTAAATCATAAATCTGTGTCAGTGAAGTTTCTAAATTGGGGGTTAGCTCATCTAGGGCTTAAAAAGACCTAAGAAATTCCACAGGCTTCTGTGGAAATTCTCTCTGCTCTTGCTGTCTTCTTTATGTCCTTTACTAGTGATGATGGTTCAGTCTCTGAAGATGGGCTGTGTGAAAGTGCATTTGCTGAAGGGAGCTTGAACTCCAGGTCAGAGGGTTTTTTCAACCTCTGCACTCAGCATCCTGACACACTTTCTTTGCCCTTGCCATTAGAGATTTTTCTGGTTCTGGCTGCCTGTGTCTTTGTCTCTTAACTATCCCTATAAAGTGCTATTAAAGGCAGAAAGCCTGTATGTGGCAATAGCTGGGAAAGGCAGGCCAGGCTTGCACTGTTGGTTGGATTTGCATTGAAAAATGACCTAGAAGCACAGGAGCTGGAATAATCCTTCCCATAAAAGGGTTCAGTGAAAGAGCTGACACACCAGTAAAATGGTGGTGGTGTTGGAAGACAGGCATTGCACATGGAAATTGCCCATTGTGATTTTCCCTGGTCATGTCAGGTACTAGATACTGGATCTGCTGTTTTGTGGTTTTCATTGTTTGGATGGGGGGAGATGTTTTTCTGCTGCTTGTTTTTCTGAAAGTACCTAAAGATCACTCCCAAGTATTTCATACGCAGCAGCATAATGTAGTGTTCAGGTGCATGCTCTATACCTTACCTTCTGTTATTATTCTTTTAGTTGTAGTGCTTACAGAAAACTACTGAAGATGGGAGGTGCAGTGAGTGCAGGAGAAGATAATGATGAATTAATTGATAACCTGAAGGAGGCTCAATACATCCGGACGGAGCTGGTAGAACAGGCCTTCCGAGCCATTGATCGAGCAGATTACTACCTGGAAGAATTCAAAGACAATGCTTACAAGGACTTGGCATGGAAACATGGAAATATTCATCTCTCAGCACCATGCATTTACTCTGAGGTGATGGAAGCTTTGGATCTGCAACCAGGGCTGTCATTTTTGAATCTGGGCAGTGGCACTGGTTATCTGAGTTCTATGGTTGGACTCATCTTGGGTAAATACCTTTTCAATCACGTTAACTGTTTGTGTTGGATTAAAAGAGAAAAATAGTTTTGAAATTGGGAGTGAAGCATTCCTCAAGTAATGAAACTAAAAGACAGGAAAGTAAAGGATGCATTCATCTGACTGACAAGTTTATCAGGATTTTTGAAGCCTTCTCTCTGGAGCTGGGTGGGACCCAGATTCCAGAGGCAGTTCAGAACAGGCAGTGATGCAGTTGCACAGGTGGCTGGAGGGGGCTTCTGCAGGACTGGACACAGACTTGGGTTTGTTCCCCATTAAGCAAGAATCCAGGTTGGGAGCAGGAGTTTCCTGTTTAAATGAGGATTGAGCATGTCCCCAGAAACCTGTGGCTGCAGCTGCTCTGTGCCTTCTTTGTTTTCACACCATCCTGTCTGAAATGAAACATGTTTCAGATCCAGGTTTGACCCTTCCCTGTGCACAAGTGGAAATAGTCTCTGGAAAGCAGTTAGTGCATCAGAACTGACATGGTGACCATGACAGCCACAAAGCAAAGCATCAAAATGCAATTACACAATTTCAGTTTACTCTTAAGTTTCAGTCAGTGATTCTGCTGCCAGGATAGACATCAAATGGCTGCAGGGTTTGCATTTTCCTTTTTTGGGGTCAAGAATTTTAACTGCTAAAATGTTTGTTGTCAGGATGGAGCTCCCATCTTCCATGGCTTTTCATGAAATCACATTTGTGGGTTTCTGCCAGGCTTGTTCAGGTTACTTGGGATGCCAACATGGAACTCCTGGGGCTTTTGAATTCTTCTGAATTTTTTGATAAGTTACTGAGTCACTTCTGAATAAAAAGTGTGGGTGGTGAACAACTTCAGTATTTTCCAGTTGATTTTTGCTGTTAATTGTGGTACAGTATGTGGTGACTGCTCCTGATTCCTTTGAGGAGACTTTTACCACATCAGCAAGGGGCTATAAAAATCACAAAACAATTTTTTGAGAGATTTTTTAAAACGTGGAGGCTGTTGTTCTGCACTGGGATTTTTTCCAGGTGGTTGGTTTTGCAGCAGTAGTCTCAGTGTTTCCTTTCTACAGAGGAATTTCCTGCATAGTAAAGAGCAAATTATTTAAAATCAGTTGTGCAAAACAGCCTTGTTTGCTGCCAGAAGCTGCAGGTACAGGGTTTCTGTTCCCACTGCTGTACTGAGGTAGCTGACCCTGCATGGGCACTGACTATCTGACACTGAAGGAGCAATCTGCTAGAGGAAGTAACCCAAACAGGATTCAGTCCTGTTGGAGTTTGTGTTGTTTCCTGTTACCATGACCCTGGTCTTCTAACCTTGCAGGTCCTTTTGGTGTTAACCACGGGGTGGAGCTTCATTCCGATGTCATCGAATATGCAAAGCAGAAATTGGACTTCTTCATTAAAACAAGTGACAGCTTTGACAAGTAAGAATGAGGAATGCCTGTTTGGATTCATTTTGTTCCTCTGGCTGTAGTCATGGCACTTCTTGCTCCCCTGTGGCAGCTCTGGATTCAGGGTAATCCGAGGATTCTGGCTCCTTAGACTTGCTGAGCTGCAGTGTGTGAGTTTCTAAGCTGTTTTGTGGGGGAGTTTCAGGAATTTTTGCAGTGTTTTTCATAGCAGTGCTACTGTTGCAGAGCCTGGAAGCTGAGGAAGCTTGCTTTAAAATGCACTTGCAGGCAACAACTTGAAGCTTTCGAATAACAGTAACAGTTATCTTTTGTGATCTGAGAGCCTGGCTATCAGGAGAATAAGCACTGATTTCTGTGATGGCCTAATAGGTTTTATCCAAGAAGTAGAAAAATGGTGTTTTAAAATATGAAGGTAGTTTTATGATGATTAAGTTGGTACTAAAACTGCTTGGGATCTGATTTATGTTCTTCCTCAGAACCTTTATTCTGCTGCTGACACAAGTAATAACTTTCCAGCAAGATAACCATTGCCAGCAGTAACCTCAGCAATAAAAGCTGGAGCTGTCATATTTTTGGATCCGTCTCACAATTTGTTCAAACAAAAGTGAAGCATCTCTAGATACTTCATCATCCTCCCCTCGTGGGAGGAAGGAAATTGAAGCCATTGAATGCTAGAATTCAGACCCCTCAGTCTTGTGCTGTTGCTGCTGTGCTGATGTTTTTTCTGTATTTTCTGGATCTTGGCAGCAGAGCCACAGTTTTCAGCATGGAAGGTGCTTGCATGTAGATGACTGGGATTTGTTTTTTTTCAGATCCCCATTGCAAATGTTTGAATAGGTGTTTTAAGGAAGACTTTTTTTCTCCCTCCAGATAAATGTAGCTATGGAGCAAAAGTGAGCTGAACTTTGAAATCAATGTGACTGGAAAATTGGCATTGCTGAGAGAAATGGCTGCTGGGTTGTGCTCTTAGAACCCTGTGTGCAGGAACCATCAGCTGCCTGCTCTGAATGTCTAGCCTGCTTAGCAAAAGCAGCTTCAGGAAGGGTTTAGGAATAAATGGGTGCTGTATTGAGCTGCCTCTCAAGGTAGCAGGAAAAGAATGGATACGTTGTACAACTTCTCTCAAAATCAGCCCTTAAATGTGGGCCTTAAAGCTTTCATAATTTGCAGCATGTAAGAAAACCAGACTCATTATAGAATCATTCATTTTTTTCTTCTAAACTGAATCAGAAATGCCATAGGCAAAAATTCTCTTCATGAAGGGTGAAATCACAGTCCTTTTGAAGCTCATGGCAAAACTTCCATTGGCCTTAGCAAAGCATATTTCTGAGGCATTAGGTTATAGTTCCCTACAACATCTGAAAACCATTTACAAGCTTTTGAAAACACCAACCCCCTCTGGTGCAATCCTTAAAAGACTTTGACACTTGGAATTGCAGGTCTAATATTTATATTTGCTTATTATAACAGAGTCAGCATCAAGTGACTAAAAATAGCTTGGTGTGAAGAGTTGTGTGCAGCTCAAGTATGAAATGATGCATCCTTGTCCTTGGAGATTTTAATCTATGAATTCTCAGCTCGTTGTCCTGTGGTTTTGAGCCTCCTAGCTGTTCTGGTAATGTCTAGAATCTGCAGGCTTCAGAGGGGAAATGCTGTGAAACTTCTTTTTTTTTTCCCAAGAATTTTTCATTATTTCAGTTTTTCAGAATGATGAAAATAAGTCATTTGCTACATTGTAATATTCCTATGTGATCCTTTTCAGATTTGAGTTTTGTGAGCCATCATTTGTGACTGGCAACTGTCTGGAGATTTCTCCAGACTGTACTCAGTATGACCGGGTTTACTGTGGGGCTGGAGTGCAGAAGGAACATGAAGACTACATGAAGAACCTGTTGAAAGTTGGAGGAATTCTTGTCATGCCTCTAGAAGAGAAGGTTGGGTGCCTTTCTACTCGTGTTTCTCTGTCAGTTATTCTCAATATTTTACTGGTGCAGCTTCTAGTACTTTAACCATTTGTGCAGGCAGAAAAGTTGTTTGTTGACGTATTGCTCAAAAATCTTCCTGTAGTTCCCCCCAGTGGACAGTAATCTCCTTGTTTTGCTTTAGTTGACCAAGATAACTCGTACTGGTCCTTCTGCCTGGGAGACCAAGAAGATTCTTGCTGTTTCCTTTGCTCCTTTGATTCAGCCCAACCAAGCAGACTCAGGAAAATCAAGGCTGGTTCACTTGCGTGAGTACAGACATTCTTGAGCATGGGGGAGGTTTCTTCTGCTATTTGGCTGGAAGCTGCACCTTGCTTCCTGAGATGTAACATCCCCATGAATCCTTTCAAAGAAGGAAGCAGTTGGAATCATTTTCCTTGAACACTTGTTTAAGTCTTGCGTTGGATCCTAGTCTCTCTTTGAGTACACCTGCAGAGGCCTGGTGCAAGAATCAGAATTGCAGAGAATAGCTTCTAAATGCAAATTATTTCTTGTGAAATTGTACCTAAAGTTTGTGGGCTGTTTCATCTTTGTTTGTGCCCGTGCAGACATCAGTTTCAGTGTGGAGTTCTCATGGTTCTCGGGCACTCTGCCATGGTGGTGGAAAACACACAAGTAGCACCTGGGAACAGTATCTCCTCACAAGCTGTCACCACCTAGCAATACAGAATTACCCTGAACCTGGAGTGCCTGAGGCACAGAAGTTGTGCAATTTTTTGGTTAGCTGTTTGAAATGCAGGTTGTACACAGTGGCCTCAATCTTTAGATTAAGACTTCAGTGCAGAGAGGCCTCTTAAGAACACACAAAGACAGAGACACTTCCATAAAGAGATTAGTCAGGCTTTGTTCTTATTCAGGAAAGGTGGCTCTGCGTGACAAAAAGCAGCTCAGTAAGCAGTCCCTACAGTGCTATAAGGTCCACAAAGTATACTTTGTATTGTGGCTTTGTATTGAGACCTGCATATATATTCCATGTAATTTTTTTCTGGTTCCTTCAGGTCCTTCAGGTTTTTTTGTTTGTTTGTTTTTTCAGTTTTAATTCATTTTAGTACCTGGATGTGTTTGCATCAATACATTTTTACTTTATGCTACATGAGTTATGTTGTGCACTGATGGGCTGGCAGCAAATAAGTGCAGAAGACAGAACAGTCTTCCAAACCATTAGTGTGGGAGGCATTTTAATACAATAACTTATTGTATGCTTCTATAATTACTTTTACCAAATGGTTTCCAGCCTGTCTGAAGCAGTTTTTGAAAAGCATAAATAGTACTCGTGTTTTATAACTTGGCAAGGTGAAGTAACTTGACAAGAGAAAAATCACTTTATGGAAGACTTAAATAGATTTTAGGTCTAGTTATCTATGGTAGGAAAACATCTTTTCTAAGATATTAAACAGTCACAGTTTCTGTAAGTCTGCGTTCTTATATCTTCAAGGCAGGTATATCTTAAAATAATAATGAGGACTTGACAGCAAAATATGAAACTTTTCCATCTCATTCTTCAGTTCATGGGAGAAATGCATAATTACATTTTGTTTGAAAAATTGCAGAGCAGTTTATGTGAGTTGACAGGAGCTGAATAGAACTGTTTCTGTAACCACAGCAGGGGATTCAAGTGGCCTGATTTAACGTGAGCAAATGCAGCTTTTCCTAGGAGTGCAGTTTATCTGTGTCTGCTCATGGTTCTCCTTTGGTCGTAGCCCCGGTGGCCGTTCGCAGCCTGCAGGACCTGGCTCGCATCGCCATCCGAGGAACCATCAAAAAGATTATCCATCAGGAAACAATGAGCAGAAGTGGGAACGGGCTGAAGAACCCCCCCAAATTCAAACGGAGACGCGTGCGTCGCCGCCGCATGGAGACGATTGTGTTCTTGGACAAAGAGGTCTTTGCCAGTCGGATCTCCAACCCCTCTGATGATAACAACAACAGTGAGGACATGGAAGATGAGAGAGAAGAAGAGGAAGAAGCTAAACCCTCTGAACTAAAGCCAGATCCCCCTGTAAACTTTTTGAGAGAAAAGGTCTTGAGTCTGCCTTTGCCTGATCCCTTGAAATATTACCTGCTTTATTACAGGGAAAAGTAATTCCCTTCTTCTAGGAAGTGGGAAGTAGGCAGAAAATAAAGCACTACTTAGGGGCTTGACAAATGTAAACCACTTGCTTGCCTGCTAATATGACCACCCAAGGCAGTAGGCTAGCTGGGGAAGGTGGCTGCTGTATACTTAAACATTATAGCTTTTTCTAAGTTGTTTCTTCTCAGTTGTGTGCTATAGTTTTATCCTACAGCAGGGATTCCTTAGGAAGCAAGTTGGTGAAATGCTCAGCTACTGATGGAAAGGAGGATTGAATTCCCTGAGATGAACTGCACAGAGAGATTCTAAACATCTCACAGCTGCTCTGATGAATTGCAGTTTTTAAATACTCTTAAGCAGTTCCCCAAAGACCTTTGCTGCCTGTGCTCTCTCCCACTACACCTGCCACGTGTTTACCGTGGTGTGTGTTTGATGGAGGATGAAGATTATTAGTAAAAACTGACCTGGCAAATCTTGCTTCTTCCAGTATCTGAAAAAGCACAACTTTCACAGACGTGAAAAGAGAGAATTTTTCATATCACCCCTTTGGCATCCAGATTTTGAATGAGAAGGAAAGCATCAGCTCCCCTTTGGTTGGTCTCAGTTTTGCTTATAAGCTATAGATAATTTTTCAGTAAAAGGGTGAGAATATTTTACAGAATATTGTTTTTTTTTTTAAATGGAAAACACCTAGTGAATTAGTCTGTTAGAGATGCAAAGTTGGGGGGTTTCTTGGTGGTTTTAAAAAGCGAGGGAGGTGAGTGAAGAGTTGCACAGTTGATGAGCTTTGGCAGGGTGCTGGGGCAGTCAGGGCTGTGGCTGTTTGCTCTGGAAATGTTTACAGAAGAGGGTAGAGATGTGTAGCAGTGAGTTTGTGAAAACTGCTTGTGAAAACAGAATCTGGATTTTGCTGCTGTGTGAGAACTTGTCTGCTGGGCTGGACAGTGAAGTGCAGAGCAGAGTGGCTTGTGGTCCTGGTAGATCAGCCAAGTGTAGTTTTGTGGAGGGTGTGTAGAACCCCAAAACAGCCTAGAAAGCCAAAGTGGTGCAGTTCTGAGGTGTTCCTTTGTGTGTGCCCCAGTGTAGCTAAGTGGCTAAAAGACAACTCCTGTACACGCAGCCCACACACGGGGGAAGGAATTGATCAGTGTAGCAGTGAGTTTGTGAAAACTGCTTGTGAAAACAGAATCTGGATTTTGCTGCTGTGTGAGAACTTGTCTGCTGGGCTGGACAGTGAAGTGCAGAGCAGAGTGGCTTGTGGTCCTGGTAGATCAGCCAAGTGTAGTTTTGTGGAGGGTGTGTAGAACCCCAAAACAGCCTAGAAAGCCAAAGTGGTGCAGTTCTGAGGTGTTCCTTTGTGTGTGCCCCAGTGTAGCTAAGTGGCTAAAAGACAACTCCTGTACACGCAGCCCACACACGGGGGAAGGAATTGATCAACTTGGTAGGATGTTTTATTCCTGCAACAATTAAGTAGATGTTTTAAGAGTCTCATATAGAAAGACTTTACACTCTGCAGTTCTGTGGATGTGAACTCTAATTTTTTTTATTCCCAAGTCTTCCTGTAACAGTGATGGAAGGAGATAATTTAGAAGAAGTTTACTTAGTTCAGCTGTTAGAAAAATCTGCCTAAGCTGGTAAAGACTGGAAAGAAACCCTTGGGCTTGTGCTGATGTCCCATACTCCTAAATCAGGGGGGTGAAAACCTCTCTCAGCAGGTAATGAAGCTGTGTTAATGCATTGCCCCATCAGAAGCACTTAGGTTGGGATCCCTTGGATATCTTATTTTTTTAAAGCTGTCTCCTCATTTTCTGAGGAGGAATGAAGACTCTTGCCAAAAGTAGGCTGGGTTTTCAGTTAGTGGTACTGAGCTGCACAACTTGCTTAATGCTAAACAGTGTTTTGAAGTTTTATGCAGCTTTGAAACTAAACAGATAATTCTGGTAACTTCTAAGCCTGAGGTGGAAAACTCCTCATTGCTGATCAGGCTGTTTGTATATCTTTGAGAATGCCACTGGCACATCACAGGGTCCCAGGCTGGATTTTGCCTCTGGTTTCCTAAGTCTCCACTTCTGGTCCAAGTGGTACCCCGAGCTATTGTGCCCCCTCAGATTTTGATTTCTGTATTTAAACTGGGGCAGTTCTGTGGCCACTGAGCTGATGGTTTCCTGTAAACATACAAGTGCCCATCTTGTAATTCTGGCAACTACAAAGTGTTTCTGTCTACAAATGAAAATCTTGAATATGGTGGCAAACAGAGGCTGTTACCTCTGGATTTGTTGCGCAGTTCTGCTCAAGAGCTGCTACACCAGGTATGTGCCTTCCTGTGGCACAGTTTCTCTGCCCCTTCATAGTACAGGTTGCCTCCTGTTTTTGACTACCAGGTCATCCTTCAGTTTGTTAATTACCAAACTTCTTTTCAAGAAATTGCTTAAAAAATATATTAGACTTCAGGTTTGTATTAGTAAACCTTGCAGAGGGTCTGTCAAAGCTGACCAGTTGAGGGAGAATTATCTTTCAGTTACCACTATTTGGTTTTTACCCCCAGTTGTAGAAGATATTTTATCAGATTTTTCACCAGATTTGCCTTTTTTATTACATTTGCTAGATTTTTGTAACTTAAGATGCATAAAATACTGCTATTTTTCCTGGATAAGGTTAAATAAAGAAATATATATACAGGAAATTTTATGTTCTAAGTTGTCAGATTGTCCCCTTATCAAAAAAAAACCAAACCAAACCCCACAAATCCAAACAAACCAATAGTAGAAATTTTCTGTGTAATATAGTTGTGAAATAGTATTGCTTATGGCCTGTAAATGAAGGGGAATTGTAAAAATACCTATTCCCTGTGCACAAACACTTGCACTGTAGTTTTGTATGCATTTCTAATAGGGTACTTGTAGCAAAACTGGTTTTGTATAGTCTGTAAGGAGTTTTACCTGCTCTGTTTCCCTTTGTGTTCTCAGTAGTCCCCACTTGCATTGTATGTGACTCCTTCTAGGTTCCAGGACTGCAGTAAATTTGCAAAATGAAGTGAACTTGGAACTGCTTTAATCATTAGTGTGTATGTTGAAAACCTGTGTAGAAACTAGAGGTAAATTGAGCAGAGGCATGCAAAGTGTTACACGGTTTAAACTTTATTAATAAGTGTTTCTGTATCAATAAATTCAGTAAAGACTTTTTAGCCTTCTTACATGGCTTTGCATCATGTTGTGGTTGGAATCCTTTGTAGATCAGTTCTTATTTCCATAATGGGTGGCTAAGACACTGGAACACTAGAAAAAGCCCTTAATAATGTGGTGCAGGTGTGTAGTTTTGGCTGAACTCCTCAGAAAATAACCTCTCAAAAGACACCTGTCCAGCTGGTGATTTCTAATCCTTTCTGTTGTGCAAGATGTTTTGGGGTTGGCACACAGAGCTGGTCTGCTTTTAATGTATCGGAATGGTTAAGGACTGAACTCGCTCACCTGGCAGTTGGACCTGTGGACAAGGGGTAGCAAGAGGTTCTTTAACCTATTTCTCTGCTTCAAGGACTCACTTAAACTAAACATGTCAGGAGCTTGTTTAATGCCCTCTGAACTGCTGCTCCCCTTTTGTCTCCTGTGCTCAGTTTCAGCGCTTAATGAATGCAGAGTTTTAAGAGCTGGTGTTGAGAGCTTCCATTTCACTAGTAGTGAGAATAGCATTTTGGTTTCAGCTCTAACAGGAAACTGATCATAACAGCAAACACAGCTGTTGCTATTTAAATGTCTGTTAACCTTGCTTGTGCAGGATGATTACCTGTAGTCAGTGCTTGTTCCTCTCATCTGTGTGCCTGACAGGTGTCCTTTTATCAACTGTAACACCAGACTAGTTCAGTGTTACTGTTTTCCTTCACGTGATGCTTTGGAAAGCTATGGATGTGTCATACAAATGGTATCAGGTGAATTAATCAGATCATTATTATGTTCACTTAATAGAAAATGTACAATATCTCAGCTCCCTGGGAGTGGTGATGAGCTCCTCAGGGGACACACCCGGTGAAATCTTTCTGCTGGAGCAGAGATAACTGTGAAGTGAAGGTGGGAGAGAAACACACCTAAAAAAATACCTCAAATTTCCTTGCTTTCTACTGGTGTGACAAAGTTTCCCCAGCAAAGGCTGGAAATAGGGCTACTAGCCTTAACTTTTGTTCACAAACGTCCCATTTTGTCACAAGAAGGGGAGATGAGAACTGCAGAGGAGGTGTGTTTCAAGTTCAAGTGAAGATCTGCTTCTAACTAAGTGTACAGGTTGCAGAACTTGCGTTTTTGCACTCTGGTTTTTCCTGAGCATGGGCACAGAAATCTGCTGACCTGGCTGAAGATCCCATTCCCACCAAGCAGGGCACAAGAACCCGTCAGTCTTTCCAGGAGCTGCCTCCCACTGCACTGCAAGAAGGGTGTGAGACAGTAGGTACAGAGCAGGGCTGATGCCCAGCTCTCCTGTGAGCAGGATAAACCTGGAAGGGATTTATTTTGCAGATGGCTGGTTTAGAGCTCAGAGTTTGTGCTTCAAGATGTAACTGGAGACAAAAACCAAAAGCCTTGTGTTTGTGAACTGGCCAGAAGTGCCAGGGAAGATGTTGATGACTTTCCTAAATACAGAAGCACAGTGTGAAGAGAGAACTTTTGTTTTATTTTCCTAGAAGTGCTTTACAGAGCAGCTCCTGAGTAGCTGTGCTCCCCTGTCCTAGCAGAGTTCAGTGTGCTTTGGAGAGAGATGCTAGGGGAGCCATCAGGCTGGGAGAACCTGTGATCCCTGCAGGCTTGGGTGACAGCCTGCCTTGTCTTTTCTCATGCACATGAAGGATGCACCTCCAATAACCGGGTCAGAAACTGTCCTTCACCTGAGCGATCTGCTCTCCATTGCTGCATAAAGGCCAAGGCAGAAGAGAGATCTTTTATCCTTTTCCAACCTGGTTTTGTAAGCACGGGCTGGGTGGCCGCTAGAGGACACTCTGCTCACAACCATCCTCTGTGTCCACACGGGGG